GGTCTGCCTGACTGTAGGACACCTCATACCAGGAGAGCATAAGAATAATGTGTGTTCTTTTAGTCACTACGCCAAGATGCCTTTATCAGGATAAAACGAATACATGAGGATTCTATTAGATTATGGTATAGGAAAATTTAGGCCAAAAGTGACGGTTGCTATTGCGATATGAGACCTGGATGATGCTATCCTTCTGTCTTAATACCCCGTACCAACGATTTGCGCCTATTTAAATCCGTGCTTTTCATGTCTCCAAACGAGTCCTCCTTACCTACAGAATGAGGATTTAGGTTTCGGTGTATGATAAAGGGACAAGGTGAAACCTAAATTTCTTTTTTTGGAAGGCATTTAAAGCCTGATCTTAAGGTCATCGTGGGTAGAATTATCTTTAATTTATAAAGCATCAAACGAAAATGATGTATAAGGATAAAAAGTGGTCATATCCTCCCTCTGATCCAGGCTTTTCATTTTTGAGGTTCAAATGAACACTTCCAAATTTAACTTGCCCGACTAATGAACTGAGTTTTTTTTATTACAACAAACGAATGATTCTGGGTCCATCCTTTGAAAACCATAGCTAGGCACAATAAACAGAGTCAATTGCGAACGCAATCAACCAGAGGATGGAGGAAATGATGTTTCACTTTGGTAAGCCAATCATAACTTCAGTCTAGAAGTCAAAAAGTCTTCAAGTGACTCTTAAAGACTTGGCACACCAAAAGTTACGTAATAAATGCAGGAAAAGAAAAATTTCCCCACTGCTTGGGCGAATGTAATGTGAATTTGTCTCATAATAGAAGGCATATAATTTTGACTCAAAAACGATAGCAGATATATAATTATGAGAGTCTTCGGCTAAGATCAGAGTATGGAAAGGTAAAAATAGAGGAACATATTTCTGGGAGCTGTGATAACTTTCATCCAGTTAGCAATTTTAATGGAATAAGATAAATCAATCAAATGCATTTCCAAATGAGCCTAGCTTAGCTCACTGGATGAAATGTGAAGAAGAATTAACAGTAAACGACGTTGAGGAAAGTTGTCCCTATCAGGTTTCCCGTAAAATACTCATATAGCTATAGTTATGCACAATTCATTAATTTTGTAATTTGATCGCATTAATGACATAATATACATATTGAATTCCGAGACTTTATTGCATTCACTGGCCTCACGTACATTTTAAGTTAAGGTGTTTAGTGAAGAGATTCGGTGACAGCGGATTCCTTTTGACCAATTGTCGGTTGGGTTTACTGGCACATTTTTGATGAAGCTGGTTTCAAGGTAATCTCCTCCTGTTTTGATTAATGCATGCTAATACTTCGTCAGTCATATGACCGACATCATCAAAATAAGAAAGGCATCACACCTAAAACCATATTCAATGCAGTATATGTACCCCATATCTATGCTTTTTGATTAGTTCATGCATTTGGGGATAAGGCGATGAGTTTTCTTGGCTAGTTAGCTGGAACATGGTCGTAAGAAAGATACACTAATCTGATGATGTACGTCATGAGGTAAAACGTTTAGCACGTTTTCATCGGAAACGAAGGGGATTTCCTCAGGAACAGCATCAGCAAGAACGCTCGAGTAAGGCCTAAGAAGAGCTGATCGAGAGGAATCTGCTGAAGTTTTCTAGTAAGATCAACCCTCTAATCTCTTCACCAAATACTTTCATTCGTAATGGAAGTAGGCTGAATAGTTATGAACAAAGTTGTTCTTCGGAACCCAACTTTTCCTCGCATAATAAATAGCACTAGAATCCCAAAAGACTTATACCAAGCATGACTAATACAATGAGTTTAAGTGCAATTAAATTTGAAATGAAAAAGTGTGCATCATTTCAGAGAAGCTGAAAAATTCACTGGGTGTATTTTATGCCTTCATCTCTCAACTAGCATTGCTTTCTTCGTAATTCATGTTTAGCTAAAACGTCTAAAGTTATTATTACAAATAAAGTTATAAAGATAAATTAGGTGATAGCAGTGAACCGAAATATTTGAATGTAAAGCTCTTTAGTGAATAAAATTTCGTTGTAAGCGGTGATTACATTAGTAAATATCTTAAAATAAATACATTTATATCATGTAATAAGTTTCGTTAGTATAAAATGTCATAATCAAAAATACGTTTTAAATTCATTTTATCTCAAATTAGTTTCATGATCAATGCAATGCATAAATAATATTATATGTGAGCAGGTATAATTGGATCACTTACGACTCAATATCCTCATTTTCATCATCAGTACATTTCATACTCTAGAAGTAACAATAGAGGGATAAGTAAATATCAAAGATGCAACATTTCTTATTGAATTTTTAGGGGCTACAAACCCTATAATCTACTGTTTGATGGGATCCAAGCTGAACATTGTAGTTTTATCCAGTAATGGCGTACAATACTCAAAAATGATATATGAGGTTCGTTGATGCCATGCAGCCAAAAGCTAGGCTAATGTTTGTTGAAGGTGATCAACTCTCATAGGCACTAGTATCTATATTTTTCGTATTTAGGTAGAGTTTCGATACTCACAGTAAATCAGAAATATGATATGTATTCACCCTATTTTGTTTAAAGTGATGAAGGACTGGCAGTAGAATTTTTCTACAATCAGATGAGTAGAGCTGAAGTTTCCATTGAATTTCACATTCTACACTGTCACGGTTCGACTCTAACTGCGGTTGTTGATAAGGCCGATGCGAGGTCGAAACTGCAGTCCATTCCAGCAGGGATGAAAACAACTTTTGGGAAACCAAGGCTATGTTCAATTCAATGGAAACGTGGGCAATACTCATCTGATTGTGGGAAAATTCTACTACCAGTCCTTCATCACCTTAAACGAAATAAGGTGAATACATCATATATTATGCAAAGATCGCTTAGATAATGTAGGATCATAATGAAATCGTATCGCTTTCCATCTTCTAGACTTTTTTGTAGGTGGCTGGCGAGCTGAGCCAGAAAATCCAACTATTGTTCGTCGATGTTAACCTCATTTGGCTTTGCGAAACTATAAAGCAGCAACATCAAAGTTTCTTATAATACATCTTTAGGAAAGGCTCTACGTGACGCTAAGGATGCCCGATTTTATGATTTTTAAGGCAAGTCAGGCCTAACTCAAATCACATGTATAGTGTGATTTTTGATTAAACAAACATGTATTCACCATTGCGATTGGCGAAGTTACCTATTTTAGGAATAAGTAGGCTTAGAGACTATCCGTAAATCTTGAAAAAAAATGTTGAATTTTTTTTACTCTTATTTAAAAAAACGTAATCATCAGTGCTTAAATAAACCTAAGAAACCTAGAATCACTTATTTCCTATTCAAGAATTATAG